ACTAATGTTAAATCTTACTAATACAATTTATATAAAAGTATACTTAAAAATAGAATTGTAAACCTTAATTAAATTCACACTAGTAATGTATATATCAATACTTTCTACAGATGAATGTTTTGGATTTTCACTGAGTTTAAGTTTAGGTATTAGGAATGAAATCAATGAAACATTTTATTTGCTGGGAATTCAAAAATTATAGAATATATAGAGACTACTAATGGCATAGGATTAAAAATACTAATAAATTTATACATACATTTTTCAAATTGCTTTTTTATTATATGCCAAGGAACAATTAAATAAGTGCTACATTTACAGTTTATTTAGTAAATTCCTATTATGGTGAGTACTTGCAATCAGGATCTCATTTTTCACTTCATTAATATAAAGTCATTCTCACTTACTGAATTCATCTGATTTTCCCTTCAGTTTTTATTTAGACATAAATGTCCCTCTAGAGATGTGCATGTGAATATACATGTTAGTTTTTTTTAATAAATACACACATATATTTGATGGTAGCTAATTAATAAATGTTATTTTCCTTCTAAGGGATCCAAAAAGACTAAAGCAAAAAAAGGGGATAATATAATTGAGATTATTCAATGTTTCACTGTTTTTCTTTAAAATGTGACATCATTAAATATCTACTTGAATTTGATAAACATTTCCTAATTTAGATGTTTCTGCTTTAAATAAAGGGAAAAGCTACTTCTAATATCTGATAGCTAGCATTCCCAAAGAAAGTTTAGTCATGAAGGACTATTACAGATTAAATGTATAGGGCCACAAGAACATTAAGTATCAAAGGCATTCTACCTATGTCAGTCTGATAATCTATAATACAAATAAGTAAATTCTAATTGACAACATGGAAACAATTTTTTTTAAATATATTTTATTGATTTTGTACAGAGAGGAAGGGAGAGAGATAGAGAGTCAGAAACACCGATGAGAGAGAGTCATCGATCAGCTGCCTCTTGCACACCCCCTACTGGGGATATGCCCGCAACCAAGGTACATGCCCTTGACCGGAATCGAACCCGGGACCTTTCAGTCTCCAAGCCGATGCTCTATCCACTGAGCCAAACCGGTCCCGGCAACATGGAAACAATTTAATTGTCAAAGTTATAAACCGTAACTTAAAAATGTTTCATCATGTGATCTTCTAATATATAATTTAAAACTGAATAGAGCCTTAGGAAAATTCTACTGGAAGTCTTAGAATGAATTTTATTTTATAATTTAAGTTTCTACTATTCCTATCGGCAAGTGTTAGAAACATCGATGAGAGAGAGTCATCAGCTGCCTCTTGCACACCCCCTACTGGGGATGTGCCCGCAACCAAGGTACATGCCCTTGACCGGAATCGAACCTGGGACCCTTCAGGCCCCAAGCCAACGCTCTATCCATTGAGCCAAACCGGTACTGGCATAAGTTTCTACTCTTCCTAAACCATAGTTATATCCCTGTGGTTTCGAGAAGGATTAGCCTGCCATTTGTTTTTGATTTAACAAATCAAACTCAACCATTTATCTTTTAACATTTGAACTTTTATTCCTTCACTCATGCATTCATCCCATAAAATTCATTTCATCCACATCTATTATGTGCCTACTACTCCTTAAGAAATGTCTGCTATTTTGCTGCTATTCTACTTAAAGGCACCTCGTTAGAACACAATTCCCAAGATCCGAAGACACTGCAATAGGAAAGGGTTGGTCCCACCTCTTTATTACCCCTGCCACTTCTATTTCAACCTACATCCTTCCACATAACCATGGGCAACTCTTTCAAACTCAGGCGTATTTCAAAAGAAATTTACCTATCCTAGGCACACCCCAGTGTGGGGTGTGCAGGAGGCAGCCATCCAATGATTCTCTCTCATCACTGATGTTTCTATAGCTCTCTCCCTTTCCCTTCCTCTCTGAAATCAATAAAATAAAATAAAATAAAAATTATCTTAATTTACCTGTCCTAAATGCTACTCTAGCTAACCTAAGAGACATGCTCATATGGAAAAAACCATCAGAAAGTTAACCTATAACTGTTTTTGTTTTTGACTGATTTTTTTTTTTAACTGACCTTATTTAGGAACAGAGCCTTAATGGAAAGAAAACCAGGCAGGTGAGTGCGCGTTTAGGTTGGAATGAAGGGTGTGGCTCCTGGCCCTGTTTGCCTTCAACAGCTCTCTGCTCTGTATGTTTTCAGGAAATAATAGCTAGCATTTATTACATAAATCCCAGGTACTGTTCTGTTTGCTTTAAAGGTTATTAAATCATTTTATCCTCAAAATAATACCACAAGGCAAGTACTATCAGTACCCCCATTTTATGTGTAAGAAAACTAAAAGTTGAAGAGATTAAGTATTTGTTAAGTCATGCTGCTTGTAAGTCACAAAATTGGAATTTGAACAAATGCAACTGGTTCCAAAGCCAAAGAATTTGAGCACATTATTATATTGCATGCCCAATCTAACTCATGGAACTGCTGTCAAGATTAAATTAAATTATATCAAAGTGCTCTGAAAAAGACACTCTACTCCTTGTATGGTTAAAACATTAATCTCTAAGTGTCAGAAATAATAAGAAGACTCCAAGTACACTAGCAAGCACAGGCAGTACTGTTTTCAGATGAGTCTTCCTGGAGTACATAAAGTCATTATTTAACACATTGGTTAAATAAACTCCAACACTGACTACACATCCACTATACTTACTATTTACAAATTTACTTTAAAAATTTATATTTCACATTATTAATGGTTATTCTAAAATGTATTCCCTTCAATTTTATCTGATATCAATCATTTGATATTACCAACAGCTCAGTTCCTTCAAAACTAATGAAAAAACATTAAGAAAATGTTTAACATAGCATAAAATGCTATTAATTAAAATGATGTAACCAAGACTATTTAAATGACTCTTCACATAAAAATGTAAAACTCAGCAAGTTCAAAATTACAAAATATAGTGGTTTATTGGAAAGTACAGAAATTATATACTTCAATTAACTAATATAGCAACTCTAGATTGTATATGAATTTCATTTCCAACTATATATTTTCCTCTAAAATGAAAATAATCATGGGCTTTGATAGTTTTACTCTAACATTAATAATAATATATATGCAAGCTTCAATTTTACTTACCTGCCTACAATTTATAAATACCTCTATCAAAAAGTTCTATACTCTCATCAGCACTTGTATTATTTCATTTATTTTTTTCAGTTTCCTTGCATTATAGTGTCTGTTACTGGTTTTTAAGAGCTTGTTTTATGACTAAAGATGTTAACCAAGTCTCATGCATTGCAAATGAAATATCATGTTTTTTGTTATTGAACTTGTGTATTGAATAGAATCATGTTATTTTTAAAAAGTCAGATACTCTCAACAGTACTTTTTAGCAACTACTCAGTATCTACCCAGTACAATTATCAACTTATGTTTTCAAGAATGTTATCTGTAAAAACAAGTACTAAATTAATACTGCGCAATATTAAAATAATTTATTTTTAATCTACTTTGAACAAAAACATAAACACCACAGAATCACTAGACTGCAATAAATTATTGTTCCTTAACCATATCATTTCACATCTTTCAAAAAAAAATCCAAACTTCTCTATTATAATTTAATTATTTCTAATTTCCTCTAACGTACATTGTTTTTTCTTGAGCCCAGTTCACTTCTGGTTTCTTTTGTCGCTAGCTATCCCCATTCCCACATTTAAACTTGCTATAACTTTTCAAGTTTTCTACAAATTTCCTCATTTTATGTGTTGTTTTTAAATATCCTTTCAAAAGTACACAACTTTGTCCATATCTGATTTTAATTATGTTAACTTTCAATACATTAAAGGCTTAAAATATGAGGTTTTGCAAAGTAAAACTAGACATAATATTGGAAAAATAAGATCTTTCATACCAAAACCTCTAAGTATGAAAGTAATTTTTAAATTTTTATTTAAGCTATCTACAAATAAAATATAAAATCAATAACATTAATTATTACTCTATTAGTGCAAGAGAGCACATATTATTTAATGGTTTGGACTGAAAGGCATCAGGACCTATCAATATAATTCAATTTGGTGGTTACATTTAAAATGCCGAGAATTAATTTGCTTAAAAAACTGTGTTAGTTCTAAATATCTACATAATGTATCAATAACTTCTTAAGCAAATGAAGATTTTCATATTAAGAGAATTATTTACTGGGTACTTTCTTGTGTGGGGGAAAAAGGAAAAAATACTTTTCATATAAAACCTGCAGAAATGGCCAAATGTTCTGCGAAAACAATTCTAAACTATATTGACCTTAGGCTGTTTTTACTCTTGCATCTAAAACAACCATACATATAGAACAAATGATACTACATGTTATTTTTTGAAAATGTATTAGATAATTTGTCAAATAAAAATGCCTAGGATTAATATTTCCTCCTAGAGCAACTCTTTGTCCTTGTATTTCTCTGGGAGCATTAATCCTCGCCTGGCCTCTTGATTTCATGAATTAAATCCGAAAGACTGTAAGAGCCGAAGAGCTGCTTACTGTTGATTACAAGTCTTAGTTTTCACGCCATTCCAGTTAGTCAAAGGTGATGAGAAAATTTTGTATTTCATGTTTCCAAAGTATAAGGTGCCCAAGGGAGTATGACTAAGAGCTTAAAAGATCTTATGAAGAATTTTAATGCATATTCTGTAAAGAAAGTAAATTTGAAACTGGAACAGCAATATGGGTTTAGGTTTTTCTTTTCTGTTGTATATACAAATAATTTCCTTTAAAATTCCATTTACTAATATTAACTAAAGAAAAAAAAAAAAAAGCTATGTTCACAGGATGATAAATTTTAGTAGATCCCAGAATATTACCTAATTCAGTCAAAAAAGCAACCGTGTACACAGTCTCTAACAACTGAAAACTCCAAAGTGGGAGAAAACTCATCACACGCACATCAAAGTAATTAAATTTGATTCTTAAGCAACTTACCCAATTTTTGACTTCTCCTTTAACTTGGAACAAGTTCTTGCTTTCTTGCTCTCTTTGTCCTTTGGCTTGGCTTTCGCCCTTCTGCCTCTCTTCTCCTCTCTCCCTTCTACTGAAGCACTAGGGAAGTTCTCAGGGCTCATGACTCGGGGAATATTGCGCTCCCCACGCTCCTTTGCTTTGGCTATGGCCTCTGATATTATCCGGTTGGCCTTTTCTTGCTTGCTTTCTGATTCCACCTTTTTTCTCTGCTTCTTCTCGGACATGATTCTCACCTGGGTATTCTGCAACTTAGTGTATGTCCCAGAACCATCATTCTTCTTGGAAGACGGAGGCTAGAAAAGCCAAAATATTATTTATATAACATACCAGAGTACATAAAAAAAAGAACATAAATATTTGAATATTTTAAATTAGGCTTAAAGAAGTAACAAACATGAGCAGATATGTGAGTGTTACAAATTGAAAATTAAAACATTTTGCTAGTCTAGAAATTAGTGTAGATATGAAATAAAAAGCTCAACTTTTAAAAATGAAGGTGAAGGACAGATAATACAGATTCACTTATATTTTCATAGCTTTCTTGATTAGTTGATTCAAATTTTACCCTATAAATATTTTATACACTTGAAAAATTTTTAAAAAAAGGTATTTTCTTTCTTCTTTGTTCCAGAATTCTGAAAATAATTACTACATTTAAATTAGCAATTTTAACACAGAATGGTTACTCCTATTATAATTGTTAGAAAAACAAAGCCTCTGGTTTACAAGAACTAAACCCTGAAACAATGAAATAATGAAATAATTTTAATGTGCAGCCTAGGCAGCAACATAGCTAGTTAGTAAACATTCCCATACTTAAAATTAGAGGAAGTTTTAGTTTTTCCGTGGAAGAGTTAAAATGTGCCCCCCTCCCCCATTATCACAATTATTTTGCTCAAGCAATTCTGGAGGGAAAAAAAACACAAGTTTTATAGTTTCATGTTAAAATTATTAATATTTAGCAATATCACAGGAAGCAGATCAACAGCATTTTTAAAAGAATATCCTCTTGAAACACACATTCACCCACATAGAGATCACAGTTTTGTTATGTTCTTACCCGTAAACATGCCTCTGACTATAGCAAAGGGAAAAACCACCAGGAATTTCCAAACACATTTTCATGCTGATTCCAGTGGGTTTCCCTGGCTATCTTTTTTATCCCTGCCTCATCGAAGGCTTCATCTCAGTGCCGCGGCACTGGGAGAGGAAGGAAGGCTTAGAATCGCTCGCTAAAATGCCACCTTAAGGCCTACAGGCTATAACAAATAACCAAGACTCAGGAAAACAGCAACAAGCTCAAGATGGCGATGCAGTAGGACTCCCGCGGCAGCAGCAGCCAGTAATAAGGAAGGTTATTCAATCCCATTAGCCTTTTAGCCCAAAGAACCCCTCCTCCACCCACTCATTCAGGCTCTCACTTACCCTTCCTCTTGGCCTCTTCACTGAAGACATTTTTGGCGTCAGACAAAGGCTTGCCCTCCGCTTTCTCACCACCCCAGGCAGTGCTCAAGGAAAAAGCATTGAAAGAAGATTCCTAAATGGCCTATTTAGCAAGCTGCAACCAAGAGGTGCACAGCCCTCCACAAACACACATTGTGATTGATCAACACATTTCTGCCTGAGCAAGTTTATCTCCACGGTTCCTCCCGTTTAGCTAGGAAAAAGGCGGTAAAGTCCTCCGGAGAAGCAGAGTCCCCTCAATAGCTATAAGCAGATAGCCGGATCCCAACAAAGCACAGAAAGAAATGCATGCACAAAGCATCAAAATGCATCAGCATGAATATTAGAGATGTCGTTAAAAATACTGACTCCTTCTGCGGAAGTAGGCCAGCAGATGGTGCTACCAGTTATTATTCCATTAGACTCTGCAATTTAACCCCCGGTGGACTGCTCTTCCCTCCCTGTAGCACGTTAACTCTCCCTCTGCCATTTCCCGCAGCCAAGTTTTTAAAAATATACACGAAAAGCCAGGCTTTTAAAAATCACCTGAAAACTAAAACGATGGTGTAGCTTATCGCTATTGAAAAAACGAAACCCAATGCAATTTTTACTGGAGAAAAACACTTTTCCTCAGGATACCGTAAAATATTTCAAACCTAAAAATAGCTGACGGCAAACAACGGGTTAAAGAGCAGGTCATGCAAATGAACACATAGCAAGTGACTTCTCTTTAAGAAACTAGATAAGGTCTCTTATGACTCTCCTAACAATAAGCTAGCAATGCTATTTTCAAAATAGAGAAATTAAGCTATTTTCATTTAAATTCTAAAAGGAGTTTTAAAGTGAACACACCAGAGCTGTCTATAAAGAATTACCAACCACACTTGAATTTTTCCTTAAATCTGAGCACATTGATTTTCCTAAAACAAAAATATAAAATATTCCTAACCTTTCCCCCTCATAATCCATTTTAATTGCTTCGCTGAGTTTTTCAGATAAATGTTTAATTTTAGTTCCTTGCTAAAAACAAGGAGCAAGTCCACCGGAATTTGTTCATCAGTACAACTTTTCCTTACATAAAAACCTGAGACTATTTTAGTAAGCAGTGTCCTTAAGTAGCTAAAACATAATTTTCACTGCTTAAAACTTAAGTTTACCTCTTTCATTGATACTGATTTCTCATTAGGTCGTGGCAAGTCATCTGTTACCTCTATAATGAATCCTTTTTAAATTTTTTTTCACTTTAGGCATCGGAAAGTTTCACAACATAATAACATTATATGAACTGTCCTAGAGAGACCAATCAGGACCGCAGGAGAGAAAATTAAAGGCAGAGGACTGATCTGAGGGGGATAAGAGATCAACCAAAGGACTTGTATACATGCATAAGTACAACCAATGGACACAAAACTCTGGGGAGCAAGGGTATGTATGGGAGGGGGAGCAATGTTAAAATATGTACACAGATAATAATTTAATAAAAAAAAAATCATACAGCTGAAACCGGTTTGGCTCAGTGGATAGAGCGTCGGCCTTCGGACTGAAAAGTCCCAGGTTCGAGTCCAGTCGGGGGCATGTACCTTGATTGTGGGCACATTCCCAGTGGGGGATGTGCAGGAGGCAGCTGATGGATGTTTCTCTCTCATCGATGTTTCTAATTCTCTATCCCTCTCTCTTCCTCTCTATGAAAAATCCATTATATATATATATATATTTAAAAATCATACACACACACCAAACAAACAAACAAACAAACAAACAAACAAATAAAGGCAGATGATTGACACTAACGGCAAGGGCAGGTTCTGAATGAGCCAAGAGGTCATCTATGGAAAAAAAAAATCACAATGACCAAAAAACAAGGGCCAAGGACGTGTATTAAGTTTCCAAGTGCTTATTTTATTAGGTGCCAGGCACTATTCTAAGCATTTTGCATGTAATAACTAATTTAATCCTGAATGATAATAGGGGTATAGTGACAATGCAGTAGCAAATGGGAGACATACTCCTACAGCAGAATTATAAAATGATAGAACAAAACTAAGGGCAAAGAATTCTAAAAATCATAACAATAACAGAGATAACACTTGTTTAGTCCTTACTTTATGCCAGGCACTATTACTAGATTAAATATGTAATAGCTCAATTAATCTTCGAAACAATCCTGTGAGAGATGGACTGCTATTCCTCATTTGATAGCTGAGGATACTGAGGCATAGAGAAGTGACTTGCCCAAGATCACACAGCTACTGAATTTTTGAGCAGGGATTAAAAGGCAAAGGCAGCCCTAGTGGTTTGGCTCAGTGGATAGAGCATCGGCCTATGGACTTAAAAGTCCCAGGTTCGATTCCAGTCAAGGGCACATGCCAGCTTTTCGGATTGATCCCTAGCAGGGGACATGCAGGAGACAGCCAGTCAATGATTCTCATCACTGATGTTTCCATCTCTCTTCCCTCTCCCTTCCTCCCTGAAATCAATAAAAATCCTATCTAATAAAGAGGGAATATGCTAATTGATCATCACTCAATCAAAAAGATGGCTGCACTCACAGTTGAGGCCAAGTTCCCATAAGGAGCCTTAATGAGCCATCAGCAGGGGACCTGAGGATACACCCTACCCCACCCCCATGGGGCCTGACAGGGGACCTTAGGCCATGACCCCTGCCCGGCAGGGTTTGACAGGGGACCTCATGGTGCACCCCCAGTGCTGGGTCGGGGGAACTTAGACCATGCCCCTGCCCAGCAGGGCTGGAAGGGGGACCTCAAAGCACACACCCCAGCCCTGGTTTGGGCTGGGGAACTTCAGGCCATGCTCCCTGTCCAGGTGCTGGGCCAGGGGACCTGAGGCTATACCCCCTGCCCTGAAGGGCTTGACAAGGGTGGGACTGGCCGGGTCTGGATCTAGCACAATTGGGGGGGAGGGGGAGATGGCTAGATCTGGGTCTCACACAACTTTGAGGTGCATGTGGTATGCCCAGACTCTGACAGGAGGAAGGTTTACATATACATTTTACTAATTTTCTTTCATCTCTGACACTTCTATTTTAGAGAAAGGGCAAATAGCAATATTAAATTATTTCCTCTAATTAATCCCCTTTTAATGTGCATGAATTTTGTGCACCATGTCACTAGTATATTAATAAAAGGCAGAGACAGCCTCATTATGAAAAGTATGCTCTTAATCACTATATCATATTTGGCTCAAATACCATAATTTAGAGGGACTAATTTGGACTTTCTCAAAATTGCAAAGAAACTAGCAATAAAGCTAGGATGAAATTTAGGTCTTATCACTGCCCTTTCCAAGATGTAGAAAACAACTAGATATGGAGGGGTAGGGCTGAAGAGCTGGGAGAGTCAATATTTGGTTTCTAGAATAAGTAACTGGTTCAGAAGGAAAAGAAATAGGAAATTTAGTTGATAAAGGGTGTGCATGTGTGTGTGAGACAAGTTTAATTATTTTACATTGAATTTGTAATGGAGAGCTCCAGTAACTGGAAATTTAGAATTAGGTTCTCAGAGAGGACAGGTCTAGATATAGAACCTTCTGCTGTTTTCTTTCAATACCCTTAACTCACTGACATGATCCACAAAACATTGTTTCGATTTCCAAAATATCTCATTTCTGTAAAGCTTTCCAATAGATTCTATTATTTTACTCAAAATCTAAATGATTTAACAATAAATCTTAATAATAGACAACAGGGAATCTATGATTAAATATTCTTCTATTAGAATATTTTAAAACTATATTCCCACATTTCAACATGGAGGTGTTAACTAAACATTTTCAATTCACACCCATTCAAGGATAGCTGCTAGACTTTTTTCAATGTTATATATTTTTTCCC